GGCGGCTAATGCCCCATTACAAAAACTTAGATCAGGAGGGATGGTGAGCTGAGAGATACAAAAGCCTGTGTCTGTCAGTACCGAGTCATACTGATAATCATCGTTAAACACGAAGAAGGGTCAACTGCACGCTGCTGTCAATGTGTAGAACAACGTTAGAGGAGGCAAATGCCAAGGCTTTCACTTAATTCTATAGTTTTAATAAATAGTACTTAATACATGTGACTTTAATAAGCAGGAGAATATTTTCGCTGCAAAGTGTTGTACCACAATCACTCGGTTCATGTCAACTGTTTGCTTTCACATAGAAAAAATCAGCTAATTATTGGCTGCAAAAAAGTAAATCAATTTAGTTTCTTTTCAATTTTAACATTAGAATCTTCGATCATCTGGTACTTGAGAGAAAGCAGAATAAATGTCAGTCATGCAATAATCAAAAATAACCATAAACGATAGTTAAGTTCGATACAATTTAATTTCCACGGCCGCCCCTCTTTTTGGGTCGCGGATGCAGTCGCGTCAAACAGTGCTTCCAAAGATATTTCAACTCCACCGTTGCCGGTCCCAAGCCCAGATGAGAAGGGAGAAGCGTTAAAGACCGGGACGAAGCCTCTGTCAAACTTAGAGATCTGCCCTCGTGGCACTGCCATCATCGAACATTATTCCGGCTCGTTCGTCACCGTGTAAGCTTAGGGACATTGAGGCAGGGTGTGACAATAATTCCAATATAAAATATTTATCTACGCGAAACTTTCGCAACGCTACAAAGGTGTTCCTTTATCAGCATGAGAACACAAACAAGGCTGTAACGTAATAATTGACTTGATCCATTTCCTCAGATAAGGAATAATGTTACCGAGCTGTTCTGTGACCGTCGGATGTACAAAATCCAGGAAGTATATGGATTAGCCGCAAACCAGAAGAGAATGTGACGAAGTATCAGAAAGTGCCCCGGCAGTGGTCGAGGTTGACTCAATTACGTGCTGATCAGTTTGTTTGAAAACATCGTGACAAATTTATGGAGCCATCGTTACTAAATAGGTATGCTTCAAGCTCAAAGAAGCTGAAAAGAATTTTCATGACAGGAAGTAACCACTGCCATGGCTCAGGACTACTAAGATCCGGATTCAAAAATACACCAAAAGCATGATGATCAATCGCAGTGAGAATATCATGATTAAATTATTATTATGTATTTGATGGGTAAAACTATTCATACCCGTTGTAAAGCTTCATGAAGTTTCGTCGTCCCTGGCCGTCGAACGCTGCGCTAGCGATCTCTCGGTTCCAATATCAACGATTGCTAGTTATCTTCAATTATATACGCCTAAAATAAAAGACGGATTTAATGAAAGACACTTCGCTATCATCAATCAAAAGAGAATTACTTTACCGATTAAAGAATTACTAACCAAAAAAGGAGATAACCTATAC